ACCAGTAAGATATAAGGGATGGTCAGGATTTTGGAAGGTGGCCATATCTGATCAGATTCCTGCCCCATGTTTAATAGGCCTGGATTTAGCTGAGCATACACAGAGTGTTTTTCTGACAACTTGCTCTCAGGGAAGGCAAACTGAAACCAAAGGAAGATCCTACCTTAATTGAATGCTTAGCGCAAGTTAAGGAAATTCCACTGATCCCTGAAAATCCTGAACAATGTCCCATTTCAGAGGAAAACCCTGAGATGGCAGAAATGGTTGAGGTGGTCATACTGGAGAATCCTAATACAGTGGTGCCTCGTTTTACGAATGCCCCGCATTACGACGAATCCGCTTAAAGACTATCTTTTTGTGATCGCAAAACGATGGTCGAAATGGGGGAATTTCGCTTTGCGATGATCGGTTCCCTGCTTCGGGAACCGATTCTTCACAAAACGACGTTTTTAGAACAGCTGATCGGCGGCTTCAAAAAGGCCACCGGGTAATTAAAATGGCTCCCCGCTGTGTTTAGGGATTCCTTGCTATACAGGCAGCGAAAATGGCCGCCATATGGAGGATCTTCATTGGACGGTGAGTTTTTATCCCCATTGGAACACACTGAAAGGGTTTCAATGCGTTTCAATGGTTTTTTTCTGCTTTATGATGTTTTCGCTTAACGGTGATTTTCCTGGAACGGATTATCGTCATTAAGCAAGGCACCACTGTAATACTTCCTGTATTGATGAGCAGAAGGAAGATAGTACCATAAATGATTGTATTACAAAAGCTAATGAGTCCCATTCCACTGACACCTGAACGCCCAGAGAGGTTTATAGGTGATAAAAACCTGATAGGGAAGACTTTGCAACGAAAGTACCTGTGGGTGAATTTGTGGGTGAGGAGGAAGGCGTAAGTAAGTAATAAGCTCTCAAAGGACACATCCATAGATGTTCTGGAGGAGGAGGAGGAGGAACTGCTTACCCTTTCCCCAGGTGAACAAGTGAAGCCACGAGCCAGAAAGAAAGCAGGCTTCACTTGGAAACGGCAAGTGGACGACATCCAGTGGACTTCAAAGTGCCTGATGACTGCCAGTCGACAGAAGAGAGCTTTTACTTCAAGATCTGCCTTTGTTGTGCCGGACTACAACTGGGAGTTCATTGTATACATTGATGTGTCGAGTGTGAGTCTGCGAGCTCTGCCATGCCATGCCAAACGGACCACAGATGGAATCGACACCCTGTGACTCTGATCAACAGGAGATTCCGACCTGGTGAGGGAAATTTGTCTGTCAATTGTTTGGACGCTGCAAAGACTGCAACTCTACATTAGGGGAAGGAGGTTCATCCTTTCCACCGACCCTTTCCCTCTGGTGTGGCTACAAACTGTGAAATCCACTAACAGTAAGCTTGCAAGATGGACATGTTACCTGCAAGACTTTGACTTTGTAATCTACAGCATTAAAGGGACTCAGAGCATGGAGGCTGATACTGTGCCTCGAAGGCCAGGTGGATAAACAAAGTTTGTAATGTATTAAATGTTTCATTTGTGTATAGTTATGAAAAATGATTAAAATGCCAAGTTTGGATGGGGAGGTACTGAGAAGTGGAGAATGATGGGAAATAATAATGGTGAGTAGCGCTATTAATGTAATGTGATTTGTATTGATGTATGCAGTGCAAATGTTTATAATTGCATTGATTGTTTTAAATGTTTAAAGTTTGATCTGGTAAACATAGTAATAGAGAGAAAACTAGTATAAGGTATGTATAAGTACTGTGAAACAAACTTTTTCTTAGATATATGGTAAAATATGGTATACGATTGAAAACGTAACTGGTAAGCATATTGTTATAATGGTGTTTTGGATGTAACGTTCCCTGTATGTTCCGTTGTTTATAAGGGTAAACTGTAAGGTTTTCCCTCATGAAACAAACTTTTTCTTAGGGAGTTGGAACGTGACGATCGACCCACGTCACTCATGCCATTCATAGTCATGAACAGATTTGCATGAGTCTGAGAGGACTGGAGAGGCGGAGTCAGCAGATATATGAAGGCTTGGCAGGAGAAGGTGGAGCCACATAGAGATTGGGATGAGATCAAGATAGAGATAAAGGCTGGTTAGTCAGAGAGAGGGAACAGATACTGAATGATAAGGCTGGTTAAGAAAATAGGTAGAGAAGGTGGTAATGATTTTGCAAGAGAAAAGTATGTACTGAGAGAACTGTTAATGATTTGCTTGTGTACAATGTTTATCTGAAGAACTTATGCTATTATTAAATCTGCTTCATTTCAATAAACAAGTGTCCTGACAAACATCATTTATATTATGGACTGAGGTAATCCACTGGTGGCAGCGAGAGGAAAAAACAACATGAACTGTTGTGAGGGCAAAACATGCAGGTGCCACAAGGGTGAACGACACAATACTGTAATCTATTATTTTTTTAACAGAATTTAAACAAGAGTAAAGATGTCATTTACTTTTGATTGTTAATTTATTTCAATGAAGTGTGTCTTATATACCTGTGAAGAATACCATCAGCAACATACATTTTGTCTATACTAGTGTAATTTTGTTAGTCTGCAGTGGCAAAAGAGAACTGCTTCTGAATGTTCTACCCATAGTTGAGGAAATAGTTCATTATATTGTTAACAGATGTACCACATATTTTATATTTAAAAATATTACAGCAGTTCTAGGATATGTAGCCATTGAAATGTTAGGCTACAAGTCTCATCAGCACTTACCAGTTTTTTCAATGGACATATGGTGGGACATGTCATCCAGTAATACCTTGAAAGCTGCGCTTTTCCCCTCTCTGCTCATAATCTTTTCTTCCTCTTAAGACCTGGGTTTCACAAATGACAAAACTTAATTTGGCCTTTTTCAGGTCAGATTTTATACAGTGATGCAGTTAAATGCTCTGCATTTGGATGCATACTTGTTTGCCTCTGCTTCTTTGGTTATTGCTTCAGAAATACATTCAGAAATAAGCAAAACTTTTTATTCCCAAATTGGTATTCATAGGACTCAGAAGGCAGCCACTTTACACGACACATGTGAAACCAAACTTCAGTGGCATTACTTGAAATTGGTATAAGACCCTTATCCTAAGGCTTGCTACTTATTACAGTTTTCAGTACAATCACCACAGACCATGTCACATGTATTATGTACTTGTTGAAACATCTTTCTTTAATGTCATCCGCCCAACCCAAAAGATCATCCCAGTCAAGGCTCCTCCAGGCCACCCCGAGGGAAGCCCATAAATCCTCTAGTAGGGCCTTCTTTGTGGTAGCTCCAACTTATGGAACCAGCTTCTGGAGGAGCTCCACCTAGCCCCCTCCATGTTGATATTTAGGAGGGAATTAAAGATGTTGCTTTTCAGGGAGGTTTTCCACACCAACCCTACCTGATGACCATTTCCCCTCCTTTCGTCTCTTCTGGTTTTATATGACTGCTATGTGCCATCTGTTTTTAAAGGTTAACTGTAGTTTTTAATGTTTTTTCCTGATTTTTTTTGTTTTGTATTATAGGTCTTGTATTGTAGTTGTTTTTAATGTTTTTTTCCTGATTTTTTTTTGTTTTGTATTATAGGTCTTGTAACTGCCCAGATTAGTGCCTTGGCACTAACAGGAGTGGGATATAAATTAGATAAATAAATAAATGATGACAGCAGCAGGAACGAATGGGTAAATGACTGGTGTTTTCCTAAAGTACTTACAAAAGCAAAGAATTTACTAAATCTTGGCGAAATATTTAAAAACTGATTTAGTCAATTTTACTCTACAATTTATTCCAAATGACCAATTATATCATTTAATTTTGCAATGTAAACTTTACACTTATACATGAGATACTAAAGAAAAGGAAATTACTGTTCCTAGTCTCGGTTGCTAGTCTTTTTGACTCAATTAAATGAGACGCATTCTATTGAGCAATCCAAGCTGCCCATTTTTGCTCTGAATACTCTTAACTGCAAATGTCTGAAGGACAACAGAACATCTAAAACAGTAGGACCTCCATATCCATGGGGGATTGGTTCCAAGCCTTTCCCACAGGTGCAGAAAAATGCAATTATATTTTAATAGTGAACACTATACAGTGGTGCCCTGCATAACGGGGGCCCCGTTTAACGATGAATCCGCATAGCGATGGCTTTTTGTGATATTTAGGTAGTAAAAAATCGCTTTGCGATGATCGGTAAGCTGTTTCGCTTACCGATTTTCGCATAGCGATGTTTTTGAAACAGCTGATCAGCGGTTCCCAAATGGTCGCCCACTGTGTTTTCGCGCCCATACCTTGCTTGCCAGGCAGCGGAAATGGCGGCCGTGTGGAGGATTTTCACATAACGGTGAGTTTACAGGCCATAGGAACGCATTAAACGTGTTTTAATGCATTCCTATGGGCGTTTTTGTTCCGTATAGCGACGAATCCACATAGCGACAATTTTTCTGGAACGGATTATCGTCGCTATGCAGGGCACCATTGTACATAGCATGGTCTAAGGCTCCCTGCAGTAGCCAGTTTGGGTAACTTTATCTTTAGAAATATAGATTTGTAGGATTTTTCTCTTAATATTATGAATATTTTCAGACTGGATACGTGAATCAGTGGATACTGATCTCACAAATAAGGGGGTCCTGCTGTAATAGATAAGCAGCTGTAAAAATGTGTAGGCAATTAAATAATAAACTTAAAAGACAGAACAGCAACAGAGTTTATAGTATAGGTTCAGGAATCCAAGTTTATTTTGCTAGTCTGCCCAGAACCTGAATGGAAAAGTCGATGGATAAATGGAAGGTGCTCCTAAGCATCTAGAGTGTCACATTATCCTGCCTCTTTTCAAATCTACATTTGTGTGAAGACTGGAGTTGGAAATAAAGCATAATTGGAAAGGGGTAGCCCTTGGTCTGCCTTCAGACAAGTGAGAGGTAGGTATTCTATTGGGAACTGTACATTCCAAGCACCCCCAGAATTGATACATATAAAAACAAACACACATCACACAAACTGGTTTTCTGAAGACTGCATTTTTGAATATCATTATATATATATGTTCATTTCAGTTTCATTTTTATAGATATAAATTCAGTTCAATTTTCAACCTGCCTTTAAAGTTTTGGAGGCTTACAATTAAATTAAGATAGCTTGTTCAATACCAGATGTAACAGCAGATGACACTGAATATAAAAACAGGAGAAAGAAACATTTTACTTAAAAGATTTGACACCCGTGATCAAGGCAAGGGAAAAAAAAAAGAAATTCTGCATTTAAGATTACTTTTCAGATTTATTTAATGGATGGGGTACGAAGTCCTATTCCATCATTTTGACGTAGGCTTCTTACTCATTCTAATAGTGGTCCCAGTAGGGAGTAGTTTTGTTGCCTTTCTAGTTAAAATACTAGCTAGTATACCACCTGGAGGCAAGAAAACAAAGGAAAAAGAATGATTGCTTCAGAAATGGGACTTGGTAACCCTGAAGCAAATTCAAATGATCAATAAGCTCTTTACTAAGCCAGGATTCCAATAAGCCTTTTGCCTGTGCACACAACACCTTAGCAGAAGACACAGATATGCCATGTAACTTAACCATACTTATACTGTTTTGTGGAAACCTGGAAATTAGTTAACCAGCTTTGAAAGAACTCAGATTTTGTGGGGATACAGAGCCTTGGATCTCCACAACAGTCACTTAGGTTTTTGTTTTGCTCCAAAGCAGGTAACTAAAAGTTCCCAAGTTCTCACAAAGAGGGATCTATAGTTCAGCAAATACTTCCTGGTCTGTGTCTTGTGCAAGGGGCTGCATTTGTGGGCAAAAGAGTAGGTCACACTTTGGTTGTTTAAACTGAAATGATCATCTGAACTGGGTCACTGTCTTCGCTTGATCAGGCAAATGAATGTGAACCTCTGGATATCTCAAAGTGGGGAGAGGGGAGAAGGTATTAAAAACTACCCAGGTGCTGGAAAAGGAATAACAAGATAAAAATAACCATATTCCCAAATATGGGAATAAAACCTCAATCAGATCTAACCCAAGCTAGCCAAATTATTTTTTAGGAGACTGCTTATGTAGATGTTTCACCACACTTCAAAAAACACTCCTGTAAAAGCAGAACTTCATATCAGATTTCACATGCTGCTGAGAAAATGAACTCCCACCTCAAACATGAAGGTTTCTGTATCCATTTTCCACTTGTATACTGACAGCTTTAAGGAAAGAACAGGACACAGAAGGTGTTGCCATTTTTTTTCTTTTTAGCAGCAATGAAATACCACTAACCCCCTTTTACATAACCAAATTCAAGTCACAACCAGTGGTGACTGCACCATAAAGTCACCAGGTACAAAACTGCTAGTTTTAAATTAATAACTTGAAATTTTCCCCAGAACATCCCTTTTTTTAATAAACAAACATTTTGCTATTTTTGTACATAGGCTAGCAGGCTTGTTTCAATATGAAAGTGCTAAATCATTTACAGATTTAATCAGTTATGTAGTGCTACGATAAGTGTCCATATTCTACATATGAACAACCTTGATAAATGGAAATGATGGAAGTGTTAAGTAAGGCTATCCAATTATCTTTATGTACATTTGAGGAACAGATACCCAGCAGGGAGAAGGGGAAGGGGGAAAATTGGGCAAATAATCAGTCCCACAGGTGTAAAAATTAAATTGGCCTTCTAGCTTTTGCACTGTAAATGAGACCTTTCCAAGAGTCCTGCAGCCAATGCCTTTTTTCGTCACAGGAAGGGAGCTGCCTTCATGACATTCCCTCTTGATTTCTGATTTCCACAGTGTGTCATTTGAAGCTCAAGTGTCAGGTTCTTCCTATCTTCATAAAACCTTCTTTCCAGTTTTAGGTTGCATGATCAAGTCCCACTTTCTGGGTTGGTTTTTCTTTTAAAAATGTTCAGTCTACCAATTCATTTAGAGTGAGCTGTAGATAACATGAACCAGTTCTGGAACCACTATATTGGGAGGAACACAAGCTCTTCACTACAATCACACAGCAGGAGGAAAAGTAGTGATACTTCAATTCATTCCTGGAGCTGGACCACCAAAATTGAATGAACTTGGCACAACTGGAGCATTGAATTTATATCCCCCATGCTTTTCAATCATTTTGGATTCTGAAAAAGAAAGTAAGATAATGAGAATGTTACAAACCATATCCATAGAGCTTGCATGAATTTTTTATATCTTACAAAAAAAGTTCATTTTTTAAATAAACCAACACTCTGCAATATCACCTTATTTCTCAAATCTCCATACAGTACTTTAAAATGTAAAGTATCGCAAAACATGGAAGATAAAAATAAAATCTGCTGCATCCAATCAACATGGAATGCACTGTCCTGAGAAGCTAGGTTGGTTCTCTCCCTCTTATCTATCTGTCATCAAGCAAAAGACCTTTTCAGGAAGGCTTTTAAGCAATAAGCAGAGGTCTCAGGAATGCTACGGTTACTGAACTGTGGCAATTAAATAACATAAATAAAATAATAAAAAAAATAATAATAAAAATAAAAAGGCAGTTCAAATAAAAAACTGAGAAAGGGTAGCTCCACAACCATATACTAGGTAAAGGTAAAGGTTCCCTTGACAATTTTTGTCCAGTTGTGTTCGACTCTAGGAGGCGGTGCTCATACCCGTTTCCAAGCCATAGAGCCAGCGTTTGTCTGAAGACAATCTTCCGTGGTCACATGGCCAGTGCGACTTAGACATGGAACGCTGTTACCTTCCCACCGAAGTGGTCCCTATTTATCTACTTGCATTTGCATGCTTTTGAACCGCTAGGTTGGCGGGAGCTGAGACAAGCGACGGGTGCTCACTCCGTCGTGT